TACTCAGTACGCCTCTCCCTGCATACTCAGTACGCCTCTCCCTGCATACTCAGTACGCCTCTCCCTGCATACTCAGTACGCCTCTCCCTCCATACTCAGTACGCCTCTCCCTGCATACTCAGTACGCCTCTCCCTGCATACTCAGTACGCCTCTCCCTGCATACTCAGTACGCCTCTCCCTGCATACTCAGTACGCCTCTCCCTCCATACTCAGTAAGCCTCTCCCTGCATACTCAGTACCTAAGTGGCGAAATACGCGTATAGCGTATATACGCGTGTCGTATATACGCATGCGTTTATACGCTATACGCTAAGGTCCTGAATCCAGGAATACGCTTTTTCGGGCAGGGTAAAAAAAACCCGGGCAGGGTGAAAAAAACACCCTAGGTATAGTTCACAGGGGGGATTCACGGAGGTTGTGTCTCAGGTTCATTTTTTCCCCTATGACGCGAAATGCTTAAAGACTTCGTGCTCAACATCGGGAAGGTACTCCCTAATCTCACGAAGAGGACGTGGCCTATTGTTATCCTGTGTGAGATCAGATGGCGGGTTACGAACTGCAGTAGAAATTATCGCGTAGGATACTAGGAGTGAGCGACTAGGTGGAATGGACGGATGGGGGATGGAACGTGAAGTAGATCTGACGAGAAACGATGTGTTGGAGGGGACGTACTGGAAAGGTTGGAGTTCGTAGATTGGGTTCGGTTCAAAGAGGTGGAACCCTGAAATTCGAAAATGCAACTCCAACCTGAATCAAAACATTGAAGTGACATTCCCGCTACCCTAGATCTCCGATGAGCATTTCGATCACCGCGAAATGATTGCCGTGAAAAACGGCAGATTTCTATACATTCCCGAAAATTTTCACCTTGGGCTGCCCAGAAAAAAACTCCCGAGCGTATAGCGTATTTGATAGCGTATAGCGTTTTGCGTGTATACGCAAGCGGATAAACGCTATACGCTTAAAGGCAAAAGCGTATTTCGTCACTTAGCTCAGTACGCCTCTCCCTCCATACTCAGTACGCCTCTCCCTGCATACTCAGTACGCCTCTCCCTGCATACTCAGTACGCCTCTCCCTGCATACTCAGTACGCCTCTCCCTCCATACTCAGTACGCCTCTCCCTCCATACTCAGTACGCCTCTCCCTCCATACTCAGTACGCCTCTCCCTCCATACTCAGTACGCCTCTCCCTCCATACTCAGTACGCCTCTCCCTCCATACTCAGTACGCCTCTCCCTCCATACTCAGTACGCCTCTCCCTGCATACTCAGTACGCCTCTCCCTCCATACTCAGTACGCCTCTCCCTGCATACTCAGTACGCCTCTCCCTGCATACTCAGTACGCCTCTCCCTCCATACTCAGTACGCCTCTCCCTGCATACTCAGTACGCCTCTCCCTCCATACTCAGTACGCCTCTCCCTCCATACTCAGTACGCCTCTCCCTGCATACTCAGTACGCCTCTCCCTGCATACTCAGTACGCCTCTCCCTCCATACTCAGTACGCCTCTCCCTGCATACTCAGTACGCCTCTCCCTGCATACTCAGTACGCCTCTCCCTCCATACTCAGTACGCCTCTCCCTGCATACTCAGTACGCCTCTCCCTCCATACTCAGTACGCCTCTCCCTGCATACTCAGTACGCCTCTCCCTGCATACTCAGTACGCCTCTCCCTGCATACTCAGTACGCCTCTCCCTCCATACTCAGTACGCCTCTCCCTGCATACTCAGTACGCCTCTCCCACCATACTCAGTACGCCTCTCCCTGCATACTCAGTACGCCTCTCCCTGCATACTCAGTACGCCTCTCCCTGCATACTCAGTACGCCTCTCCCTCCATACTCAGTACGCCTCTCCCTGCATACTCAGTACGCCTCTCCCTGCATACTCAGTACGCCTCTCCCTGCATACTCAGTACGCCTCTCCCTCCATACTCAGTACGCCTCTCCCTGCATACTCAGTACGCCTCTCCCTCCATACTCAGTACGCCTCTCCCTGCATACTCAGTACGCCTCTCCCTGCATACTCAGTACGCCTCTCCCTGCATACTCAGTACGCCTCTCCCTGCATACTCAGTACGCCTCTCCCTCCATACTCAGTACGCCTCTCCCTGCATACTCAGTACGCCTCTCCCTGCATACTCAGTACGCCTCTCCCTCCATACTCAGTACGCCTCTCCCTGCATACTCAGTACGCCTCTCCCTGCATACTCAGTACGCCTCTCCCTGCATACTCAGTACGCCTCTCCCTCCATACTCAGTACGCCTCTCCCTGCATACTCAGTACGCCTCTCCCTCCATACTCAGTACGCCTCTCCCTCCATACTCAGTACGCCTCTCCCTGCATACTCAGTACGCCTCTCCCTGCATACTCAGTACGCCTCTCCCTCCATACTCAGTACGCCTCTCCCTGCATACTCAGTACGCCTCTCCCTGCATACTCAGTACGCCTCTCCCTCCATACTCAGTACGCCTCTCCCTGCATACTCAGTACGCCTCTCCCTCCATACTCAGTACGCCTCTCCCTCCATACTCAGTACGCCTCTCCCTGCATACTCAGTACGCCTCTCCCTGCATACTCAGTACGCCTCTCCCTCCATACTCAGTACGCCTCTCCCTCCATACTCAGTACGCCTCTCCCTCCATACTCAGTACGCCTCTCCCTCCATACTCAGTACGCCTCTCCCTGCATACTCAGTACGCCTCTCCCTGCATACTCAGTACGCCTCTCCCTGCATACTCAGTACGCCTCTCCCTCCATACTCAGTACGCCTCTCCCTGCATACTCAGTACGCCTCTCCCTCCATACTCAGTACGCCTCTCCCTGCATACTCAGTACGCCTCTCCCTGCATACTCAGTACGCCTCTCCCTGCATACTCAGTACGCCTCTCCCTCCATACTCAGTACGCCTCTCCCTCCATACTCAGTACGCCTCTCCCTCCATACTCAGTACGCCTCTCCCTCCATACTCAGTACGCCTCTCCCTCCATACTCAGTACGCCTCTCCCTCCATACTCAGTACGCCTCTCCCTCCATACTCAGTACGCCTCTCCCTGCATACTCAGTACGCCTCTCCCTCCATACTCAGTACGCCTCTCCCTGCATACTCAGTACGCCTCTCCCTGCATACTCAGTACGCCTCTCCCTCCATACTCAGTACGCCTCTCCCTGCATACTCAGTACGCCTCTCCCTCCATACTCAGTACGCCTCTCCCTCCATACTCAGTACGCCTCTCCCTGCATACTCAGTACGCCTCTCCCTGCATACTCAGTACGCCTCTCCCTCCATACTCAGTACGCCTCTCCCTGCATACTCAGTACGCCTCTCCCTGCATACTCAGTACGCCTCTCCCTCCATACTCAGTACGCCTCTCCCTGCATACTCAGTACGCCTCTCCCTCCATACTCAGTATGCCTCTCCCTCCATACTCAGTACGCCTCTCCCTGCATACTCAGTACGCCTCTCCCTGCATACTCAGTACGCCTCTCCCTGCATACTCAGTACGCCTCTCCCTCCATACTCAGTACGCCTCTCCCTGCATACTCAGTACGCCTCTCCCTGCATACTCAGTACGCCTCTCCCTGCATACTCAGTACGCCTCTCCCTCCATACTCAGTACGCCTCTCCCTGCATACTCAGTACGCCTCTCCCTCCATACTCAGTACGCCTCTCCCTGCATACTCAGTACGCCTCTCCCTGCATACTCAGTACGCCTCTCCCTGCATACTCAGTACGCCTCTCCCTGCATACTCAGTACGCCTCTCCCTCCATACTCAGTACGCCTCTCCCTGCATACTCAGTACGCCTCTCCCTGCATACTCAGTACGCCTCTCCCTGCATACTCAGTACGCCTCTCCCTCCATACTCAGTACGCCTCTCCCTGCATACTCAGTACGCCTCTCCCACCATACTCAGTACGCCTCTCCCTGCATACTCAGTACGCCTCTCCCTGCATACTCAGTACGCCTCTCCCTGCATACTCAGTACGCCTCTCCCTCCATACTCAGTACGCCTCTCCCTGCATACTCAGTACGCCTCTCCCTGCATACTCAGTACGCCTCTCCCTGCATACTCAGTACGCCTCTCCCTGCATACTCAGTACGCCTCTCCCTCCATACTCAGTACGCCTCTCCCTGCATACTCAGTACCTAAGTGGCGAAATACGCGTATAGCGTATATACGCGTGTCGTATATACGCATGCGTTTATACGCTATACGCTAAGGTCCTGAATCCAGGAATACGCTTTTTCGGGCAGGGTAAAAAAAACCCGGGCAGGGTGAAAAAAACACCCTAGGTATAGTTCACAGGGGGGATTCACGGAGGTTGTGTCTCAGGTTCATTTTTTCCCCTATGACGCGAAATGCTTAAAGACTTCGTGCTCAACATCGGGAAGGTACTCCCTAATCTCACGAAGAGGACGTGGCCTATTGTTATCCTGTGTGAGATCAGATGGCGGGTTACGAACTGCAGTAGAAATTATCGCGTAGGATACTAGGAGTGAGCGACTAGGTGGAATGGACGGATGGGGGATGGAACGTGAAGTAGATCTGACGAGAAACGATGTGTTGGAGGGGACGTACTGGAAAGGTTGGAGTTCGTAGATTGGGTTCGGTTCAAAGAGGTGGAACCCTGAAATTCGAAAATGCAACTCCAACCTGAATCAAAACATTGAAGTGACATTCCCGCTACCCTAGATCTCCGATGAGCATTTCGATCACCGCGAAATGATTGCCGTGAAAAACGGCAGATTTCTATACATTCCCGAAAATTTTCACCTTGGGCTGCCCAGAAAAAAACTCCCGAGCGTATAGCGTATTTGATAGCGTATAGCGTTTTGCGTGTATACGCAAGCGGATAAACGCTATACGCTTAAAGGCAAAAGCGTATTTCGTCACTTAGCTCAGTACGCCTCTCCCTCCATACTCAGTACGCCTCTCCCTGCATACTCAGTACGCCTCTCCCTGCATACTCAGTACGCCTCTCCCTGCATACTCAGTACGCCTCTCCCTCCATACTCAGTACGCCTCTCCCTCCATACTCAGTACGCCTCTCCCTCCATACTCAGTACGCCTCTCCCTCCATACTCAGTACGCCTCTCCCTCCATACTCAGTACGCCTCTCCCTCCATACTCAGTACGCCTCTCCCTCCATACTCAGTACGCCTCTCCCTGCATACTCAGTACGCCTCTCCCTCCATACTCAGTACGCCTCTCCCTGCATACTCAGTACGCCTCTCCCTGCATACTCAGTACGCCTCTCCCTCCATACTCAGTACGCCTCTCCCTGCATACTCAGTACGCCTCTCCCTCCATACTCAGTACGCCTCTCCCTCCATACTCAGTACGCCTCTCCCTGCATACTCAGTACGCCTCTCCCTGCATACTCAGTACGCCTCTCCCTCCATACTCAGTACGCCTCTCCCTGCATACTCAGTACGCCTCTCCCTGCATACTCAGTACGCCTCTCCCTCCATACTCAGTACGCCTCTCCCTCCATACTCAGTACGCCTCTCCCTCCATACTCAGTACGCCTCTCCCTCCATACTCAGTACGCCTCTCCCTCCATACTCAGTACGCCTCTCCCTCCATACTCAGTACGCCTCTCCCTCCATACTCAGTACGCCTCTCCCTCCATACTCAGTACGCCTCTCCCTCCATACTCAGTACGCCTCTCCCTCCATACTCAGTACGCCTCTCCCTCCATACTCAGTACGCCTCTCCCTCCATACTCAGTACGCCTCTCCCTCCATACTCAGTACGCCTCTCCCTCCATACTCAGTACGCCTCTCCCTCCATACTCAGTACGCCTCTCCCTGCATACTCAGTACGCCTCTCCCTCCATACTCAGTACGCCTCTCCCTCCATACTCAGTACGCCTCTCCCTCCATACTCAGTACGCCTCTCCCTCCATACTCAGTACGCCTCTCCCTCCATACTCAGTACGCCTCTCCCTCCATACTCAGTACGCCTCTCCCTCCATACTCAGTACGCCTCTCCCTCCATACTCAGTACGCCTCTCCCTCCATACTCAGTACGCCTCTCCCTCCATACTCAGTACGCCTCTCCCTGCATACTCAGTACGCCTCTCCCTGCATACTCAGTACGCCTCTCCCTGCATACTCAGTACGCCTCTCCCTCCATACTCAGTACGCCTCTCCCTCCATACTCAGTACGCCTCTCCCTCCATACTCAGTACGCCTCTCCCTCCATACTCAGTACGCCTCTCCCTCCATACTCAGTACGCCTCTCCCTCCATACTCAGTACGCCTCTCCCTCCATACTCAGTACGCCTCTCCCTCCATACTCAGTACGCCTCTCCCTCCATACTCAGTACGCCTCTCCCTCCATACTCAGTACGCCTCTCCCTCCATACTCAGTACGCCTCTCCCTCCATACTCAGTACGCCTCTCCCTCCATACTCAGTACGCCTCTCCCTCCATACTCAGTACGCCTCTCCCTCCATACTCAGTACGCCTCTCCCTCCATACTCAGTACGCCTCTCCCTGCATACTCAGTACGCCTCTCCCTCCATACTCAGTACGCCTCTCCCTGCATACTCAGTACGCCTCTCCCTGCATACTCAGTACGCCTCTCCCTCCATACTCAGTACGCCTCTCCCTGCATACTCAGTACGCCTCTCCCTCCATACTCAGTACGCCTCTCCCTCCATACTCAGTACGCCTCTCCCTGCATACTCAGTACGCCTCTCCCTGCATACTCAGTACGCCTCTCCCTCCATACTCAGTACGCCTCTCCCTGCATACTCAGTACGCCTCTCCCTGCATACTCAGTACGCCTCTCCCTGCATACTCAGTACGCCTCTCCCTCCATACTCAGTACGCCTCTCCCTCCATACTCAGTACGCCTCTCCCTCCATACTCAGTACGCCTCTCCCTCCATACTCAGTACGCCTCTCCCTGCATACTCAGTACGCCTCTCCCTCCATACTCAGTACGCCTCTCCCTCCATACTCAGTACGCCTCTCCCTCCATACTCAGTACGCCTCTCCCTCCATACTCAGTACGCCTCTCCCTCCATACTCAGTACGCCTCTCCCTCCATACTCAGTACGCCTCTCCCTCCATACTCAGTACGCCTCTCCCTCCATACTCAGTACGCCTCTCCCTCCATACTCAGTACGCCTCTCCCTCCATACTCAGTACGCCTCTCCCTCCATACTCAGTACGCCTCTCCCTCCATACTCAGTACGCCTCTCCCTCCATACTCAGTACGCCTCTCCCTCCATACTCAGTACGCCTCTCCCTCCATACTCAGTACGCCTCTCCCTCCATACTCAGTACGCCTCTCCCTCCATACTCAGTACGCCTCTCCCTCCATACTCAGTACGCCTCTCCCTCCATACTCAGTACGCCTCTCCCTCCATACTCAGTACGCCTCTCCCTCCATACTCAGTACGCCTCTCCCTCCATACTCAGTACGCCTCTCCCTCCATACTCAGTACGCCTCTCCCTCCATACTCAGTACGCCTCTCCCTCCATACTCAGTACGCCTCTCCCTCCATACTCAGTACGCCTCTCCCTCCATACTCAGTACGCCTCTCCCTCCATACTCAGTACGCCTCTCCCTCCATACTCAGTACGCCTCTCCCTCCATACTCAGTACGCCTCTCCCTGCATACTCAGTACGCCTCTCCCTGCATACTCAGTACGCCTCTCCCTCCATACTCAGTACGCCTCTCCCTCCATACTCAGTACGCCTCTCCCTCCATACTCAGTACGCCTCTCCCTCCATACTCAGTACGCCTCTCCCTCCATACTCAGTACGCCTCTCCCTCCATACTCAGTACGCCTCTCCCTCCATACTCAGTACGCCTCTCCCTCCATACTCAGTACGCCTCTCCCTCCATACTCAGTACGCCTCTCCCTCCATACTCAGTACGCCTCTCCCTCCATACTCAGTACGCCTCTCCCTCCATACTCAGTACGCCTCTCCCTCCATACTCAGTACGCCTCTCCCTCCATACTCAGTACGCCTCTCCCTCCATACTCAGTACGCCTCTCCCTCCATACTCAGTACGCCTCTCCCTGCATACTCAGTACGCCTCTCCCTCCATACTCAGTACGCCTCTCCCTGCATACTCAGTACGCCTCTCCCTGCATACTCAGTACGCCTCTCCCTCCATACTCAGTACGCCTCTCCCTGCATACTCAGTACGCCTCTCCCTCCATACTCAGTACGCCTCTCCCTCCATACTCAGTACGCCTCTCCCTGCATACTCAGTACGCCTCTCCCTGCATACTCAGTACGCCTCTCCCTCCATACTCAGTACGCCTCTCCCTGCATACTCAGTACGCCTCTCCCTGCATACTCAGTACGCCTCTCCCTGCATACTCAGTACGCCTCTCCCTCCATACTCAGTACGCCTCTCCCTCCATACTCAGTACGCCTCTCCCTCCATACTCAGTACGCCTCTCCCTCCATACTCAGTACGCCTCTCCCTGCATACTCAGTACGCCTCTCCCTCCATACTCAGTACGCCTCTCCCTCCATACTCAGTACGCCTCTCCCTCCATACTCAGTACGCCTCTCCCTCCATACTCAGTACGCCTCTCCCTCCATACTCAGTACGCCTCTCCCTCCATACTCAGTACGCCTCTCCCTCCATACTCAGTACGCCTCTCCCTCCATACTCAGTACGCCTCTCCCTGCATACTCAGTACGCCTCTCCCTCCATACTCAGTACGCCTCTCCCTGCATACTCAGTACGCCTCTCCCTCCATACTCAGTACGCCTCTCCCTCCATACTCAGTACGCCTCTCCCTGCATACTCAGTACGCCTCTCCCTGCATACTCAGTACGCCTCTCCCTCCATACTCAGTACGCCTCTCCCTCCATACTCAGTACGCCTCTCCCTCCATACTCAGTACGCCTCTCCCTCCATACTCAGTACGCCTCTCCCTGCATACTCAGTACGCCTCTCCCTGCATACTCAGTACGCCTCTCCCTGCATACTCAGTACGCCTCTCCCTCCATACTCAGTACGCCTCTCCCTGCATACTCAGTACGCCTCTCCCTGCATACTCAGTACGCCTCTCCCTGCATACTCAGTACGCCTCTCCCTCCATACTCAGTACGCCTCTCCCTCCATACTCAGTACGCCTCTCCCTGCATACTCAGTACGCCTCTCCCTGCATACTCAGTACGCCTCTCCCTGCATACTCAGTACGCCTCTCCCTCCATACTCAGTACGCCTCTCCCTCCATACTCAGTACGCCTCTCCCTCCCTCCATACTCAGTACGCCTCTCCCTCCATACTCAGTACGCCTCTCCCTCCATACTCAGTACGCCTCTCCCTCCATACTCAGTACGCCTCTCCCTCCATACTCAGTACGCCTCTCCCTCCATACTCAGTACGCCTCTCCCTCCATACTCAGTACGCCTCTCCCTCCATACTCAGTACGCCTCTCCCTCCATACTCAGTACGCCTCTCCCTGCATACTCAGTACGCCTCTCCCTCCATACTCAGTACGCCTCTCCCTGCATACTCAGTACGCCTCTCCCTGCATACTCAGTACGCCTCTCCCTCCATACTCAGTACGCCTCTCCCTGCATACTCAGTACGCCTCTCCCTCCATACTCAGTACGCCTCTCCCTCCATACTCAGTACGCCTCTCCCTGCATACTCAGTACGCCTCTCCCTGCATACTCAGTACGCCTCTCCCTCCATACTCAGTACGCCTCTCCCTGCATACTCAGTACGCCTCTCCCTGCATACTCAGTACGCCTCTCCCTCCATACTCAGTACGCCTCTCCCTGCATACTCAGTACGCCTCTCCCTCCATACTCAGTACGCCTCTCCCTGCATACTCAGTACGCCTCTCCCTGCATACTCAGTACGCCTCTCCCTGCATACTCAGTACGCCTCTCCCTGCATACTTAGTACGCCTCTCCCTCCATACTCAGTACGCCTCTCCCTGCATACTCAGTACGCCTCTCCCTGCATACTCAGTACGCCTCTCCCTGCATACTCAGTACGCCTCTCCCTGCATACTCAGTACGCCTCTCCCACCATACTCAGTACGCCTCTCCCTGCATACTCAGTACGCCTCTCCCTGCATACTCAGTACGCCTCTCCCTGCATACTCAGTACGCCTCTCCCTCCATACTCAGTACGCCTCTCCCTGCATACTCAGTACGCCTCTCCCTGCATACTCAGTACGCCTCTCCCTGCATACTCAGTACGCCTCTCCCTCCATACTCAGTACGCCTCTCCCTCCATACTCAGTACGCCTCTCCCTCCATACTCAGTACGCCTCTCCCTCCATACTCAGTACGCCTCTCCCTCCATACTCAGTACGCCTCTCCCTCCATACTCAGTACGCCTCTCCCTCCATACTCAGTACGCCTCTCCCTCCATACTCAGTACGCCTCTCCCTCCATACTCAGTACGCCTCTCCCTCCATACTCAGTACGCCTCTCCCTCCATACTCAGTACGCCTCTCCCTCCATACTCAGTACGCCTCTCCCTCCATACTCAGTACGCCTCTCCCTCCATACTCAGTACGCCTCTCCCTGCATACTCAGTACGCCTCTCCCTCCATACTCAGTACGCCTCTCCCTCCATACTCAGTACGCCTCTCCCTCCATACTCAGTACGCCTCTCCCTCCATACTCAGTACGCCTCTCCCTCCATACTCAGTACGCCTCTCCCTCCATACTCAGTACGCCTCTCCCTCCATACTCAGTACGCCTCTCCCTCCATACTCAGTACGCCTCTCCCTCCATACTCAGTACGCCTCTCCCTCCATACTCAGTACGCCTCTCCCTGCATACTCAGTACGCCTCTCCCTGCATACTCAGTACGCCTCTCCCTCCATACTCAGTACGCCTCTCCCTCCATACTCAGTACGCCTCTCCCTGCATACTCAGTACGCCTCTCCCTGCATACTCAGTACGCCTCTCCCTCCATACTCAGTACGCCTCTCCCTCCATACTCAGTACGCCTCTCCCTCCATACTCAGTACGCCTCTCCCTCCATACTCAGTACGCCTCTCCCTCCATACTCAGTACGCCTCTCCCTCCATACTCAGTACGCCTCTCCCTCCATACTCAGTACGCCTCTCCCTCCATACTCAGTACGCCTCTCCCTCCATACTCAGTACGCCTCTCCCTCCATACTCAGTACGCCTCTCCCTCCATACTCAGTACGCCTCTCCCTCCATACTCAGTACGCCTCTCCCTCCATACTCAGTACGCCTCTCCCTCCATACTCAGTACGCCTCTCCCTCCATACTCAGTACGCCTCTCCCTCCATACTCAGTACGCCTCTCCCTCCATACTCAGTACGCCTCTCCCTCCATACTCAGTACGCCTCTCCCTCCATACTCAGTACGCCTCTCCCTGCATACTCAGTACGCCTCTCCCTGCATACTCAGTACGCCTCTCCCTCCATACTCAGTACGCCTCTCCCTGCATACTCAGTACGCCTCTCCCTCCATACTCAGTACGCCTCTCCCTCCATACTCAGTACGCCTCTCCCTGCATACTCAGTACGCCTCTCCCTGCATACTCAGTACGCCTCTCCCTCCATACTCAGTACGCCTCTCCCTGCATACTCAGTACGCCTCTCCCTCCATACTCAGTACGCCTCTCCCTGCATACTCAGTACGCCTCTCCCTCCATACTCAGTACGCCTCTCCCTGCATACTCAGTACGCCTCTCCCTGCATACTCAGTACGCCTCTCCCTGCATACTCAGTACGCCTCTCCCTGCATACTCAGTACGCCTCTCCCTCCATACTCAGTACGCCTCTCCCTGCATACTCAGTACGCCTCTCCCTGCATACTCAGTACGCCTCTCCCTGCATACTCAGTACGCCTCTCCCTGCATACTCAGTACGCCTCTCCCTCCATACTCAGTACGCCTCTCCCTGCATACTCAGTACGCCTCTCCCTCCATACTCAGTACGCCTCTCCCTGCATACTCAGTACGCCTCTCCCTGCATACTCAGTACGCCTCTCCCTCCATACTCAGTACGCCTCTCCCTGCATACTCAGTACGCCTCTCCCTCCATACTCAGTACGCCTCTCCCTGCATACTCAGTACGCCTCTCCCTGCATACTCAGTACGCCTCTCCCTGCATACTCAGTACGCCTCTCCCTGCATACTCAGTACGCCTCTCCCTCCATACTCAGTACGCCTCTCCCTGCATACTCAGTACGCCTCTCCCTGCATACTCAGTACGCCTCTCCCTGCATACTCAGTACGCCTCTCCCTGCATACTCAGTACGCCTCTCCCTCCATACTCAGTACGCCTCTCCCTGCATACTCAGTACGCCTCTCCCTCCATACTCAGTACGCCTCTCCCTGCATACTCAGTACGCCTCTCCCTGCATACTCAGTACGCCTCTCCCTCCATACTCAGTACGCCTCTCCCTGCATACTCAGTACGCCTCTCCCTCCATACTCAGTACGCCTCTCCCTCCATACTCAGTACGCCTCTCCCTGCATACTCAGTACGCCTCTCCCTGCATACTCAGTACGCCTCTCCCTCCATACTCAGTACGCCTCTCCCTCCATACTCAGTACGCCTCTCCCTCCATACTCAGTACGCCTCTCCCTCCATACTCAGTACGCCTCTCCCTCCATACTCAGTACGCCTCTCCCTGCATACTCAGTACGCCTCTCCCTGCATACTCAGTACGCCTCTCCCTCCATACTCAGTACGCCTCTCCCTCCATACTCAGTACGCCTCTCCCTCCATACTCAGTACGCCTCTCCCTCCATACTCAGTACGCCTCTCCCTCCATACTCAGTACGCCTCTCCCTCCATACTCAGTACGCCTCTCCCTCCATACTCAGTACGCCTCTCCCTCCATACTCAGTACGCCTCTCCCTCCATACTCAGTACGCCTCTCCCTCCATACTCAGTACGCCTCTCCCTCCATACTCAGTACGCCTCTCCCTCCATACTCAGTACGCCTCTCCCTCCATACTCAGTACGCCTCTCCCTCCATACTCAGTACGCCTCTCCCTCCATACTCAGTACGCCTCTCCCTCCATACTCAGTACGCCTCTCCCTCCATACTCAGTACGCCTCTCCCTGCATACTCAGTACGCCTCTCCCTCCATACTCAGTACGCCTCTCCCTGCATACTCAGTACGCCTCTCCCTGCATACTCAGTACGCCTCTCCCTCCATACTCAGTACGCCTCTCCCTGCATACTCAGTACGCCTCTCCCTCCATACTCAGTACGCCTCTCCCTCCATACTCAGTACGCCTCTCCCTGCATACTCAGTACGCCTCTCCCTGCATACTCAGTACGCCTCTCCCTCCATACTCAGTACGCCTCTCCCTGCATACTCAGTACGCCTCTCCCTGCATACTCAGTACGCCTCTCCCTCCATACTCAGTACGCCTCTCCCTCCATACTCAGTACGCCTCTCCCTCCATACTCAGTACGCCTCTCCCTGCATACTCAGTACGCCTCTCCCTGCATACTCAGTACGCCTCTCCCTGCATACTCAGTACGCCTCTCCCTGCATACTCAGTACGCCTCTCCCTCCATACTCAGTACGCCTCTCCCTGCATACTCAGTACGCCTCTCCCTGCATACTCAGTACGCCTCTCCCTGCATACTCAGTACGCCTCTCCCTGCATACTCAGTACGCCTCTCCCACCATACTCAGTACGCCTCTCCCTGCATACTCAGTACGCCTCTCCCTGCATACTCAGTACGCCTCTCCCTGCATACTCAGTACGCCTCTCCCTCCATACTCAGTACGCCTCTCCCTGCATACTCAGTACGCCTCTCCCTGCATACTCAGTACGCCTCTCCCTGCATACTCAGTACGCCTCTCCCTGCATACTCAGTACGCCTCTCCCTCCATACTCAGTACGCCTCTCCCTGCATACTCAGTACCTAAGTGGCGAAATACGCGTATAGCGTATATACGCGTGTCGTATATACGCATGCGTTTATACGCTATACGCTAAGGTCCTGAATCCAGGAATACGCTTTTTCGGGCAGGGTAAAAAAAACCCGGGCAGGGTGAAAAAAACACCCTAGGTATAGTTCACAGGGGGGATTCACGGAGGTTGTGTCTCAGGTTCATTCTTTCCCCTATGACGCGAAATGCTTAAAGACTTCGTGCTCAACATCGGGAAGGTACTCCCTAATCTCACGAAGAGGACGTGGCCTATTGTTATCCTGTGTGAGATCAGATGGCGGGTTACGAACTGCAGTAGAAATTATCGCGTAGGATACTAGGAGTGAGCGACTAGGTGGAATGGACGGATGGGGGATGGAACGTGAAGTAGATCTGACGAGAAACGATGTGTTGGAGGGGACGTACTGGAAAGGTTGGAGTTCGTAGATTGGGTTCGGTTCAAAGAGGTGGAACCCTGAAATTCGAAAATGCAACTCCAACCTGAATCAAAACATTGAAGTGACATTCCCGCTACCCTAGATCTCCGATGAGCATTTCGATCACCGCGAAATGATTGCCGTGAAAAACGGCAGATTTCTATACATTCCCGAAAATTTTCACCTTGGGCTGCCCAGAAAAAAACTCCCGAGCGTATAGCGTATTTGATAGCGTATAGCGTTTTGCGTGTATACGCAAGCGGATAAACGCTATACGCTTAAAGGCAAAAGCGTATTTCGTCACTTAGCTCAGTACGCCTCTCCCTCCATACTCAGTACGCCTCTCCCTGCATACTCAGTACGCCTCTCCCTGCATACTCAGTACGCCTCTCCCTGCATACTCAGTACGCCTCTCCCTCCATACTCAGTACGCCTCTCCCTCCATACTCAGTACGCCTCTCCCTCCATACTCAGTACGCCTCTCCCTCCATACTCAGTACGCCTCTCCCTCCATACTCAGTACGCCTCTCCCTCCATACTCAGTACGCCTCTCCCTCCATACTCAGTACGCCTCTCCCTGCATACTCAGTACGCCTCTCCCTCCATACTCAGTACGCCTCTCCCTGCATACTCAGTACGCCTCTCCCTGCATACTCAGTACGCCTCTCCCTCCATACTCAGTACGCCTCTCCCTGCATACTCAGTACGCCTCTCCCTCCATACTCAGTACGCCTCTCCCTCCATACTCAGTACGCCTCTCCCTGCATACTCAGTACGCCTCTCCCTGCATACTCAGTACGCCTCTCCCTGCATACTCAGTACGCCTCTCCCTGCATACTCAGTACGCCTCTCCCTGCATACTCAGTACGCCTCTCCCTGCATACTCAGTACGCCTCTCCCTCCATACTCAGTACGCCTCTCCCTCCATACTCAGTACGCCTCTCCCTCCATACTCAGTACGCCTCTCCCTCCATACTCAGTACGCCTCTCCCTCCATACTCAGTACGCCTCTCCCTCCATACTCAGTACGCCTCTCCCTCCATACTCAGTACGCCTCTCCCTCCATACTCAGTACGCCTCTCCCTCCATACTCAGTACGCCTCTCCCTCCATACTCAGTACGCCTCTCCCTCCATACTCAGTACGCCTCTCCCTCCATACTCAGTACGCCTCTCCCTCCATACTCAGTACGCCTCTCCCTCCATACTCAGTACGCCTCTCCCTCCATACTCAGTACGCCTCTCCCTGCATACTCAGTACGCCTCTCCCTGCATACTCAGTACGCCTCTCCCTCCATACTCAGTACGCCTCTCCCTCCATACTCAGTACGCCTCTCCCTCCATACTCAGTACGCCTCTCCCTCCATACTCAGTACGCCTCTCCCTCCATACTCAGTACGCCTCTCCCTCCATACTCAGTACGCCTCTCCCTCCATACTCAGTACGCCTCTCCCTCCATACTCAGTACGCCTCTCCCTCCATACTCAGTACGCCTCTCCCTGCATACTCAGTACGCCTCTCCCTGCATACTCAGTACGCCTCTCCCTCCATACTCAGTACGCCTCTCCCTCCATACTCAGTACGCCTCTCCCTCCATACTCAATACGCCTCTCCCTCCATACTCAGTACGCCTCTCCCTCCATACTCAGTACGCCTCTCCCTCCATACTCAGTACGCCTCTCCCTCCATACTCAGTACGCCTCTCCCTCCATACTCAGTACGCCTCTCCCTCCATACTCAGTACGCCTCTCCCTCCATACTCAGTACGCCTCTCCCTCCATACTCAGTACGCCTCTCCCTCCATACTCAGTACGCCTCTCCCTCCATACTCAGTACGCCTCTCCCTGCATACTCAGTACGCCTCTCCCTGCATACTCAGTACGCCTCTCCCTCCATACTCAGTACGCCTCTCCCTGCATACTCAGTACGCCTCTCCCTCCATACTCAGTACGCCTCTCCCTCCATACTCAGTACGCCTCTCCCTGCATACTCAGTACGCCTCTCCCTGCATACTCAGTACGCCTCTCCCTCCATACTCAGTACGCCTCTCCCTGCATACTCAGTACGCCTCTCCCTGCATACTCAGTACGCCTCTCCCTCCATACTCAGTACGCCTCTCCCTGCATACTCAGTACGCCTCTCCCTCCATACTCAGTACGCCTCTCCCTGCATACTCAGTACGCCTCTCCCTGCATACTCAGTACGCCTCTCCCTGCATACTCAGTACGCCTCTCCCTGCATACTCAGTACGCCTCTCCCTCCATACTCAGTACGCCTCTCCCTGCATACTCAGTACGCCTCTCCCTGCATACTCAGTACGCCTCTCCCTGCATACTCAGTACGCCTCTCCCTGCATACTCAGTACGCCTCTCCCACCATACTCAGTACGCCTCTCCCTGCATACTCAGTACGCCTCTCCCTGCATACTCAGTACGCCTCTCCCTCCATACTCAGTACGCCTCTCCCTCCATACTCAGTACGCCTCTCCCTGCATACTCAGTACGCCTCTCCCTGCATACTCAGTACGCCTCTCCCTGCATACTCAGTACGCCTCTCCCTGCATACTCAGTACGCCTCTCCCTCCATACTTAGTACGCCTCTCCCTGCATACTCAGTACCTAAGTGGCGAAATACGCGTATAGCGTATATACGCGTGTCGTATATACGCATGCGTTTATACGCTATACGCTAAGGTCCTGAATCCAGGAATACGCTTTTTCGGGCAGGGTAAAAAAAAACCCGGGCAGGGTGAAAAAAACACCCTAGGTATAGTTCACAGGGGGGATTCACGGAGGTTGTGTCTCAGGTTCATTCTTTCCCCTATGACGCGAAATGCTTAAAGACTTCGTGCTCAACATCGGGAAGGTACTCCCTAATCTCACGAAGAGGACGTGGCCTATTGTTATCCTGTGTGAGATCAGATGGCGGGTTACGAACTGCAGTAGAAATTATCGCGTAGGATACTAGGAGTGAGCGACTAGGTGGAATGGACGGATGGGGGAGGGAACGTGAAGTAGATCTGACGAGAAACGATGTGTTGGAGGGGACGTACTGGAAAGGTTGGAGTTCGTAGATTGGGTTCGGTTCAAAGAGGTGGAACCCAGAAATTCGAAAATGCAACTCCAACCTGAATCAAAACATTGAAGTGACATTCCCGCTACCCTAGATCTCCGATGAGCATTTCGATCACCGCGAAATGATTGCCGTGAAAAACGGCAGATTTCTATACATTCCCGAATATTTTCACCTTGGGCTGCCCAGAAAAAAACTCCCGAGCGTATAGCGTATTTGATAGCGTATAGCGTTTTGCGTGTATACGCAAGCGGATAAACGCTATACGCTTAAAGGCAAAAGCGTATTTCGTCACTTAGCTCAGTACGCCTCTCCCTCCATACTCAGTACGCCTCTCCCTGCATACTCAGTACGCCTCTCCCTGCATACTCAGTACGCCTCTCCCTCCATACTCAGTACGCCTCTCCCTCCATACTCAGTACGCCTCTCCCTGCATACTCAGTACGCCTCTCCCTGCATACTCAGTACGCCTCTCCCTCCATACTCAGTACGCCTCTCCCTGCATACTCAGTACGCCTCTCCCTCCATACTCAGTACGCCTCTCCCTCCATACTCAGTACGCCTCTCCCTCCATACTCAGTACGCCTCTCCCTCCATACTCAGTACGCCTCTCCCTGCATACTCAGTACGCCTCTCCCTGCATACTCAGTACGCCTCTCCCTGCATACTCAGTACGCCTCTCCCTCCATACTCAGTACGCCTCTCCCTCCATACTCAGTACGCCTCTCCCTGCATACTCAGTACGCCTCTCCCTCCATACTCAGTACGCCTCTCCCTCCATACTCAGTACGCCTCTCCCTCCATACTCAGTACGCCTCTCCCATACTCAGTACGCCTCTCCCTCCATACTCAGTACGCCTCTCCCTCCATACTCAGTACGCCTCTCCCTCCATACTCAGTACGCCTCTCCCTCCATACTCAGTACGCCTCTCCCTCCATACTCAGTACGCCTCTCCCTCCATACTCAGTACGCCTCTCCCTGCATACTCAGTACGCCTCTCCCTGCATACTCAGTACGCCTCTCCCTCCATACTCAGTACGCCTCTCCCTCCATACTCAGTACGCCTCTCCCTCCATACTCAGTACGCCTCTCCCTCCATACTCAGTACGCCTCTCCCTCCATACTCAGTACGCCTCTCCCTGCATACTCAGTACGCCTCTCCCTGCATACTCAGTACGCCTCTCCCTCCATACTCAGTACGCCTCTCCCTCCATACTCAAGTACGCCTCTCCCTCCATACTCAGTACGCCTCTCCCTCCATACTCAGTACGCCTCTCCCTCCATACTCAGTACGCCTCTCCCTCCATACTCAGTACGCCTCTCCCTCCATACTCAGTACGCCTCTCCCTCCATACTCAGTACGCCTCTCCCTCCATACTCAGTACGCCTCTCCCTCCATACTCAGTACGCCTCTCCCTCCATACTCAGTACGCCTCTCCCTCCATACTCAGTACGCCTCTCCCTCCATACTCAGTACGCCTCTCCCTCCATACTCAGTACGCCTCTCCCTCCATACTCAGTACGCCTCTCCCTCCATACTCAGTACGCCTCTCCCTCCATACTCAGTACGCCTCTCCCTCCATACTCAGTACGCCTCTCCCTCCATACTCAGTACGCCTCTCCCTCCATACTCAGTACGCCTCTCCCTCCATACTCAGTACGCCTCTCCCTCCATACTCAGTACGCCTCTCCCTCCATACTCAGTACGCCTCTCCCTCCATACTCAGTACGCCTCTCCCTCCATACTCAGTACGCCTCTCCCTCCATACTCAGTACGCCTCTCCCTCCATACTCAGTACGCCTCTCCCTCCATACTCAGTACGCCTCTCCCTCCATACTCAGTACGCCTCTCCCTCCATACTCAGTACGCCTCTCCCTCCATACTCAGTACGCCTCTCCCTCCATACTCAGTACGCCTCTCCCTCCATACTCAGTACGCCTCTCCCTCCATACTCTACTCAGTACGCCTCTCCCTCCATACTCTACTCAGTACGCCTCTCCCTCCATACTCAGTACGCCTCTCCCTCCATACTCTACTCAGTACGCCTCTCCCTCCATACTCTACTCAGTACGCCTCTCCCTCCATACTCAGTACGCCTCTCCCTCCATACTCAGTACGCCTCTCCCTCCATACTCAGTACGCCTCTCCCTCCATACTCAGTACGCCTCTCCCTCCATACTCAGTACGCCTCTCCCTCCATACTCAGTACGCCTCTCCCTGCATACTCAGTACGCCTCTCCCTCCATACTCAGTACGCCTCTCCCTCCATACTCAGTACGCCTCTCCCTCCATACTCAGTACGCCTCTCCCTCCATACTCAGTACGCCTCTCCCTCCATACTCAGTACGCCTCTCCCTCCATACTCAGTACGCCTCTCCCTCCATACTCAGTACGCCTCTCCCTCCATACTCAGTACGCCTCTCCCTCCATACTCAGTACGCCTCTCCCTCCATACTCTACTCAGTACGCCTCTCCCTCCATACTCTACTCAGTACGCCTCTCCCTCCATACTCTACTCAGTACGCCTCTCCCTCCATACTCTACTCAGTACGCCTCTCCCTCCATACTCTACTCAGTACGCCTCTCCCTCCATACTCAGTACGCCTCTCCCTCCATACTCAGTACGCCTCTCCCTCCATACTCAGTACGCCTCTCCCTCCATACTCAGTACGCCTCTCCCTCCATACTCAGTACGCCTCTCCCTCCATACTCAGTACGCCTCTCCCTCCATACTCAGTACGCCTCTCCCTCCATACTCAGTACGCCTCTCCCTCCATACTCAGTACGCCTCTCCCTCCATACTCAGTACGCCTCTCCCTCCATACTCAGTACGCCTCTCCCTCCATACTCAGTACGCCTCTCCCTCCATACTCAGTACGCCTCTCCCTCCATACTCAGTACGCCTCTCCCTCCATACTCAGTACGCCTCTCCCTCCATACTCAGTACGCCTCTCCCTCCATACTCAGTACGCCTCTCCCTCCATACTCAGTACGCCTCTCCCTGCCATACTCAGTACGCCTCTCCCTCCATACTCAGTACGCCTCTCCCTGCATACTCAGTACGCCTCTCCCTCCATACTCAGTACGCCTCTCCCTCCTCAGTACGCCTCTCCCTCCATACTCAGTACGCCTCTCCCTCCATACTCAGTACGCCTCTCCCTCCATACTCAGTACGCCTCTCCCTCCATACTCAGTACGCCTCTCCCTCCATACTCAGTACGCCTCTCCCTCCATACTCAGTACGCCTCTCCCTCCATACTCAGTACGCCTCTCCCTCCATACTCAGTACGCCTCTCCCTCCCCTCCATACTCAGTACGCCTCTCCCTCCATACTCAGTACGCCTCTCCCTCCATACTCAGTACGCCTCTCCCTCCATACTCAGTACGCCTCTCCCTCCATACTCAGTACGCCTCTCCCTCCATACTCAGTACGCCTCTCCCTCCATACTCAGTACGCCTCTCCCTCCATACTCAGTACGCCTCTCCCTCCATACTCAGTACGCCTCTCCCTACTCCCCTCCATACTCAGTACGCCTCTCCCTCCATACTCAGTACGCCTCTCCCTCCATACTCAGTACGCCTCTCCCTCCATACTCAGTACGCCTCTCCCTCCATACTCAGTACGCCTCTCCCTCCATACTCAGTACGCCTCTCCCTCCATACTCAGTACGCCTCTCCCTCCATACTCAGTACGCCTCTCCCTCCATACTCAGTACGCCTCTCCCTCCATACTCAGTACGCCTCTCCCTCCATACTCAGTACGCCTCTCCCTCCATACTCAGTACGCCTCTCCCTCCATACTCAGTACGCCTCTCCCTCCATACTCAGTACGCCTCTCCCTCCATACTCAGTACGCCTCTCCCTCCATACTCAGTACGCCTCTCCCTCCATACTCAGTACGCCTCTCCCTCCATACTCAGTACGCCTCTCCCTCCATACTCAGTACGCCTCTCCCTCCATACTCAGTACGCCTCTCCTCCATACTCAGTACGCCTCTCCCTCCATACTCAGTACGCCTCTCCCTCCATACTCAGTACGCCTCTCCCTCCATACTCAGTACGCCTCTCCCTCCATACTCAGTACGCCTCTCCCTCCATACTCAGTACGCCTCTCCCTCCATACTCAGTACGCCTCTCCCTCCATACTCAGTACGCCTCTCCCTCCATACTCAGTACGCCTCTCCCTCCATACTCAGTACGCCTCTCCCTCCATACTCAGTACGCCTCTCCCTCCATACTCAGTACGCCTCTCCCTCCATACTCAGTACGCCTCTCCCTCCATACTCAGTACGCCTCTCCCTCCATACTCAGTACGCCTCTCCCTCCATACTCAGTACGCCTCTCCCTCCATACTCAGTACGCCTCTCCCTCCATACTCAGTACGCCTCTCCCTCCATACTCAGTACGCCTCTCCCTCCATACTCAGTACGCCTCTCCCTCCATACTCAGTACGCCTCTCCCTCCATACTCAGTACGCCTCTCCCTCCATACTCAGTACGCCTCTCCCTCCATACTCAGTACGCCTCTCCCTCCATACTCAGTACGCCTCTCCCTCCATACTCAGTACGCCTCTCCCTCCATACTCAGTACGCCTCTCCCTCCATACTCAGTACGCCTCTCCCTCCATACTCAGTACGCCTCTCCCTCCATACTCAGTACGCCTCTCCCTCCATACTCAGTACGCCTCTCCCTCCATACTCAGTACGCCTCTCCCTCCATACTCAGTACGCCTCTCCCTCCATACTCAGTACGCCTCTCCCTCCATACTCAGTACGCCTCTCCCTCCATACTCAGTACGCCTCTCCCTCCATACTCAGTACGCCTCTCCCTCCATACTCAGTACGCCTCTCCCTCCATACTCAGTACGCCTCTCCCTCCATACTCAGTACGCCTCTCCCTCCATACTCAGTACGCCTCTCCCTCCATACTCAGTACGCCTCTCCCTCCATACTCAGTACGCCTCTCCCTCCATACTCAGTACGCCTCTCCCTCCATACTCAGTACGCCTCTCCCTCCATACTCAGTACGCCTCTCCCTCCATACTCAGTACGCCTCTCCCTCCATACTCAGTACGCCTCTCCCTCCATACTCAGTACGCCTCTCCCTCCATACTCAGTACGCCTCTCCCTCCATACTCAGTACGCCTCTCCCTCCATACTCAGTACGCCTCTCCCTCCATACTCAGTACGCCTCTCCCTCCATACTCAGTACGCCTCTCCCTCCATACTCAGTACGCCTCTCCCTCCATACTCAGTACGCCTCTCCCTCCATACTCAGTACGCCTCTCCCTCCATACTCAGTACGCCTCTCCCTCCATACTCAGTACGCCTCTCCCTCCATACTCAGTACGCCTCTCCCTCCATACTCAGTACGCCTCTCCCTCCATACTCAGTACGCCTCTCCCTCCATACTCAGTACGCCTCTCCCTCCATACTCAGTACGCCTCTCCCTCCATACTCAGTACGCCTCTCCCTCCATACTCAGTACGCCTCTCCCTCCATACTCAGTACGCCTCTCCCTCCATACTCAGTACGCCTCTCCCTCCATACTCAGTACGCCTCTCCCTCCATACTCAGTACGCCTCTCCCTCCATACTCAGTACGCCTCTCCCTCCATACTCAGTACGCCTCTCCCTCCATACTCAGTACGCCTCTCCCTCCATACTCAGTACGCCTCTCCCTCCATACTCAGTACGCCTCTCCCTCCATACTCAGTACGCCTCTCCCTCCATACTCAGTACGCCTCTCCCTCCATACTCAGTACGCCTCTCCCTCCATACTCAGTACGCCTCTCCCTCCATACTCAGTACGCCTCTCATACGCCTCCCCATACTCAGTACGCCTCTCCCTCCATACTCAGTACGCCTCTCCCTCCATACTCAGTACGCCTCTCCCTCCATACTCAGTACGCCTCTCCCTCCATACTCAGTACGCCTCTCCCTCCATACTCAGTACGCCTCTCCCTCCATACTCAGTACGCCTCTCCCTCCATACTCAGTACGCCTCTCCCTCCATACTCAGTACGCCTCTCCCTCCATACTCAGTACGCCTCTCCCTCCATACTCAGTACGCCTCTCCCTCCATACTCAGTACGCCTCTCCCTCCATACTCAGTACGCCTCTCCCTCCATACTCAGTACGCCTCTCCCTCCATACTCAGTACGCCTCTCCCTCCATACTCAGTACGCCTCTCCCTCCATACTCAGTACGCCTCTCCCTCCATACTCAGTACGCCTCTCCCTCCATACTCAGTACGCCTCTCCCTCCATACTCAGTACGCCTCTCCCTCCATACTCAGTACGCCTCTCCCTCCATACTCAGTACGCCTCTCCCTCCATACTCAGTACGCCTCTCCCTCCATACTCAGTACGCCTCTCCCTCCATACTCAGTACGCCTCTCCCTCCATACTCAGTACGCCTCTCCCTCCATACTCAGTACGCCTCTCCCTCCATACTCAGTACGCCTCTCCCTCCATACTCAGTACGCCTCTCCCTCCATACTCAGTACGCCTCTCCCTCCATACTCAGTACGCCTCTCCCTCCATACTCAGTACGCCTCTCCCTCCATACTCAGTACGCCTCTCCCTCCATACTCAGTACGCCTCTCCCTCCATACTCAGTACGCCTCTCCCTCCATACTCAGTACGCCTCTCCCTCCATACTCAGTACGCCTCTCCCTCCATACTCAGTACGCCTCTCCCTCCATACTCAGTACGCCTCTCCCTCCATACTCAGTACGCCTCTCCCTCCATACTCAGTACGCCTCTCCCTCCATACTCAGTACGCCTCTCCCTCCATACTCAGTACGCCTCTCCCTCCATACTCAGTACGCCTCTCCCTCCATACTCAGTACGCCTCTCCCTCCATACTCAGTACGCCTCTCCCTCCATACTCAGTACGCCTCTCCCTCCATACTCAGTACGCCTCTCCCTCCATACTCAGTACGCCTCTCCCTCCATACTCAGTACGCCTCTCCCTCCATACTCAGTACGCCTCTCCCTCCATACTCAGTACGCCTCTCCCTCCATACTCAGTACGCCTCTCCCTCCATACTCAGTACGCCTCTCCCTCCATACTCAGTACGCCTCTCCCTCCATACTCAGTACGCCTCTCCCTCCATACTCAGTACGCCTCTCCCTCCATACTCAGTACGCCTCTCCCTCCATACTCAGTACGCCTCTCCCTCCATACTCAGTACGCCTCTCCCTCCATACTCCCTCTCCTGCCCCTCTCTTCCCCCTTCTCCTTTCACTTACCCCTTCTACGATGTTGCAATCGTCTCACTTGATAGACCCATGCGTTCCTACAATCACCCACGTCTCCTATGTGCGCTTCTTCTCACACCTCCTCTCCCCTCCCTCCTCTCCTACCTTTCAAATCCCCATTCCTCCAGAGTTCCAGTCATCTCCTCCCCTTCACTCCCCCCACCCTCCTCCTCTTCCTCCGCTCCTCCCTCCCCTCCTCCTCCGCCTCCCACCCTCTCGCCTGCCTCTGTGCGAGCAGCGGCAGCGAGTGCATTGAAGCAGATAGCTCGGCAGATGGATGGAGGCATGGCGTTCGTTGATGGCATGCTGGTGGGTGCATGGTGACATAGTGTGGGCCTTACTTCAACCCGCGTGGCATAATCTCTACAGCATGCATGGCATATTCTCTTCAGCCCATGTGCCATCATCAAGTTCACATGACGGGTTATTAGGAGAGTGGGCATTTCAACCATCCCCACTCCCTTGTGAACCTCCCTCAACCCCGCTCCTCCCTCATATCTCCTCGTCCTCTCTTCTTTGTTCCCCTTCCTCACGTTTTCCCCTCCTCTCCCCTTCATAACCACACATACCCCCCCTCAGGTGGAAGGGGGGGACGTGGTTGGGGGAGAGAGCAACACAAAAGGAGGGGCGGGGAAGGCAGGGAAGGGGGGCGGAGGAAAGGGGGGCAAGGGGGGGAAGAAGGGGGGAGGGAGAGGGGGAAAAGGGGGAGGGGGGAGGGGAGGCGAGGAGGCGGCATCTGAGGGAGGCAGTCATGTGCGTGTGGACTGGGCTCTCCCACCTTCCTGGAACGTTCCTCTTCAGGACGGTAGGTTCCTTCTTTTTATATCCAAGATCCTATGTAAGAGTGATGCCATCACACCCCATCAGCCCCCTAAAATCGTACCCATCATGTCATGCATCTGTGCCCCTACCCATCACATGGCACTCCTCCTTCCTCCCACGCCACCACACCCCACCACTGCAGACGTCAGGGACCGATGTGCCTTGCAATGCGCCGAGACCCCTTGCCAAGGATGGCCACGTGCATGGCATGGTGGCGCTGTCAGGCAGTGTGTTGGCGGGCTCTGCCTCACCATGCCCCTGCCATGCCCTTTTCAAGCTGAGCCGTGCCTGGCATGCCTTTGCCTTCCCACTCCCACCACTGCAGGCGCCAAGGACGGTCACGTGCATGGCATGGTGGCGCTGTCAGGCAGTGTGCTGGCGCTCTGCCTCGCCATGCCCCGATACCCCTTCTCCCGAGTGCTACACGACCTCAAGGTGCGATGCTGCCACACCATCCCCTTTTAAGCCACCTTACAAGCCGTCCCACTGCCACACCATCCCCTTTTAAGCCACCTTACAAGCCGTCCCACTGCCTCGCCATGCTCCAAGACCCCTTCTCCCGAGTGCTACACGATCTCAAGGTGCGTCTCCTCACTGCCTTCTTTTTTAGCCGCCTCACAAGTCGACTCGCCATGCCCCGAGACCCCTTCTCCCGAGTGCTGCACGACCTCAAGGTGCGTTGCTGCCTCTAATGCCCGCTTTTAGAACTGCCTCGATAATAGTCTCTCTACCCACAGTTGTTTGTGAGGCATCTCAGAAGCTGCCGTGCCATGTATGCCTCGAGACCCCTTCTCCCGAGTGCTACACGACCTCAAGGTGCGTTGCTGCCTCACCATCCCCTTTTTAAGCCACCTTACAACCCTTCTCACTGCCTCATGCCCCGAGACCCGTTCTCCCGAGTGCCACACGACCTCAAGGTGCGATGCCCCCTTTTGGAGCCTCAATGGCTTTTGAGTGGACTCAAAATGTCCACGACCTCAAGGTGCGATGCAGCGTATGAGCGGGCGGTGCAGCGTGTGAGCGGGCGGTGCAGCGTGTGAGCGGGCGGTGCAGCGTGTGAGCGGGCGGTGCAGCGTGTGAGCGAGCGGTGCAGCGTATGAGCGGGCGGTGCAGCGTATGAGCGGGCGGTGCAGCGTATGAGCAGGCGGTGCAGCGTATGAGCGGGCGGTGCAGCGTATGAGCGGGCGGTGCAGCGTATGAGCGTGCGGTGCAGCGTAGCCGTATGAGCGGGCGGTTCAGCGTATGAGCGTGCGGTGCAGCGTATGAGCAGGCGGTGCAGCGTATGAGCGGGCGGTGCAGCGTATGAGCGTGCGGTGCAGCGTGTGAGCGGGCGGTGCAGCGTATGAGTGGGCGGTGCAGCGTGTGAGCGGGTGGTGCAGCGTATGAGCGTGCGGTGCAGCGTATGAGCGTGAGGTGCAGCGTATGAGCGTGCGGTGCAGCGTATGAGCGGGCGGTGCAGCGTATGAGCGGGCGGTGCAGCGTATGAGCGGGCGGTGCAGTGTATGCGCGTGCGGTGCAGCGTATGAGCGTGCGGTGCAGCGTATGAGCGTGCCGTGCAGCGTATGAGCGGGCGGTGCAGCGCATGAGCGGGCGCTTAGTGGGGGCGCTAAGTGGGGGCGCACAATTTGTCTCACTACCCTCTGTCTCACTACCCTCTGTCTCACCACCCGCCCTTTCTTCCACCTTGCCGTTTCACATATCTTCCAGGTTGATGCTGTGCGCAGTGTTGTGAGCAGGCTAGATCTGGTGCAGGATGGGGAGGATGAGCAGGCAGAGAAGGGGGAGAAGGGGGGGCGCAGTAGGGAAGGAGGGGGGGAGGGGGGAGAGGCGGACGGAGAGTTGAAGGGAAAGGCAAGGGAAGGAGGAGAAGAGGAGGTGGAGGAGGGGGTGACTGAGAGACCGTTGTTGAGTGGCAAGCTGCACAGAACGCCCTTCACCAGATGGCACCTCCCCCGACGGGTGCTGCTGCGCTGCTCTGTGGCTGGGGGAGGGGGGAGGCGGGGGGAAAGTGAGGGGGAGGAGGAAGGGGAAGGGGAAGGGGGCTTGCTTCTGGCCGACTACTGTGAATCGGGGGAAGGGGCGGAGGTGAGATGAGAGAAAGGGACAGAGGGGGGGGGCGGAAGGACACATGTGCGCATGAGGGAGGAGTGGAGAGGAGGCGAGGGAAGGAGAGGGGGGTAGAGCAGTGCAATGGGGTGAATGGGCTGATAGGAGGAGAAGGCTGATGGTCCAGGATGACTGCTGCGTGCTGTACTGCAGTGGTGGTGCTTTGTATCCCCTCCCTTCCTTTTCATTCCTGTGATACTTACGGCTTCCTGCTTGCCTCACTGCGTGCACCCATCTTTCCCGTCTCTGCATTCCTTCTATCTTATTCCGTCCCACAGGCAGCAGAGGAGCGGTGCAGTGGCAGTGGCAGACGAGGCAGTGAGGGAGCAGGGCGTTGGGGTGGAGTGGGAGGGGCAGGCTGAAGAGGGAGAGGAGGAGCAGAGTGGCATGGAGGGCAGTGCTGGTCCGTCCGCTTTCTGGCTTCCCCCTGGGAATGCACCTGCCAAGCCACACAGCAGCACCCCGATTGGCGGCTCTGGCAGCAGTGGCAACAGTGATAAGAGTGTCGTGAAGGCAGGGGTGCGGGAGAAGCGCTCAGCAGGCAGGGCTGTGTCCCTGCTGTTGGCTGTGCTGGGGGTGCTGCTTGCCCTTGTTGCAGCCTTCGTGCTTGCTCTCAAATGATAACGTAGCTGAGCGTGTTCTCTTGGCTGCTCTCGAACAGTGTACAATATACGTACTACATATTGTATGTTATTGCAATCAGATCTCACCACAATGAATGGCTTGTTAGAAGAAAACAATCACTCATGACTAACCTACAGCATATTCCCTAGGAAAGAAGGAAAGAGAGGTGAAAAACATCGGTATAGGGCAAGGCATGGACATGCTGACTGTGACAGCTACTTGTTGCTCACACACACCATCTTATCACCCCAACCCACCACCTCCTCCTGCCCATCTTCCACCATCCGCCACCTCCTCGGTCACTTACTGCCGCAGCCATGCCTCTGCTGCTGCCCGGCTACAGAATCATCCCAATCTGTCTATAACATTTTCCCATCTCTACTTGGGCAAGTCAACGGGCGGTGGCACATCGAGCTTCACGCCAGCCTGGATCTGCCCCCACCCAATCAGCCGCCAGTGCTTCTCTACACGCCGACTCAGAGCGAGCTTCTCGCCAGTCTTGGTGCACACGGGGGAGGTGAGGTGCAGCTTGGCCAGATCGTTCTTTACCGCCACCACGCGTGCACCGGTCGACATGGATCCGATGTTGAGCATCAGCACCTCGCCCTTGGTCAGCTTCGCCACCTTGCCTTGCTTCTCTGTGCCCTTTGTGCGCACTCCCAGCAGCCGCCGCAGCAAAAAGAAGTTGATCTGTCGGGTGGAGGGGGGTGGAAGGGTTTGAAAGGGGCGGGGAGGGGGGAACTTGGACCAGATGTGGAGCATGAGCATGAGAGACGGGCGAGGTGAGGTGCAGCTTGGCCAGATCGTTCTTCACGGCCACCACGCGCGCACCGGTCGACATGGACCTAATGTTGAGCATCAGCACCTCTCCCTTTGTATGCTTCGCCCCCTTGCCTTGCTTTTCAGTGCCCTTCGTGCGCACCCCCAGCAGCCGCCGCAGCAAAAAGAAGTTGATCTGTGGGGCCGACGAAGGGAGAGGGGGGGGGGGAAGGGGGGTGGGGGGAAGGATGGGTTGAGGTTGGGGAGGAGTGGACATGGACACAGTATAGAGCATCAGCACTTTTCCCTTGGTCAGCTTGGCTGCTTTGCCCTGCTTCTCCGTGCCCTTGGTGCGCACTCCTCGCAGCCGTCGCAGCAGGAAAACGTTGATTTGTGGGATGAGGGGCTGGAATTGGAAAACGTTGATTTGTGGGATGAGGGGCTGGAATTGGAAGACGTTGATTTGTGGGATGAGGGGCTGGAATTGGAAGACGTTGATTTGTGGGATGAGGGGCTGGGGTTGGAAAGAGTATAGAGCAGGACCCATGGGGAAAGGCATGACGAGGGGAGCCGGGAGTGGGGAGGAGACCAGTTGTTAAGAGTGTTGAGCACAAACGTGGCCCTCTGCGAATGTCCTCGTCGCACTGTTCCTCACTGCCCTCCGAGTGTGCACCCCATGCCCACTCCTCCACACACCCATGCCTACAGTCCCCCACTGCTCACCTCGAGCTCAACAAACACGTCTGGCAGCGCGCCCCACCTCCTCCAGCACCTGCCCCACGAGGCACGTAGGGGAGAGGGAAAACACCACACCACCTCCACACACCATGCCCACAGTCCCCCCCACACTGCTCACCTCCAGCTCAACAAAGACGTCTGGGAGGGCCCCAACCTCCCCCAGCACCTGCCCCACGAGGCGGTCAGCGCGAGTAAGCGTGGGATCAATAGTGGTGACCACGCTGATGAGCCCTCCTGGCACGGCGAACTACAGCTCGTTCTACTCCTCCCTTCCCCCATGAAATCACCCCACGCCCACACCACGTGTAAACCTCTCGATTTCCCATGTGCCCCCCGCATCTATGCCCGCTGTGCCCCATCCTGGTCGTCTCACTCACCTCCAGCTCAACGAACACGTCTGGCAGCGCGCCCACCTCCCCCAGCACCTGCCCCACGAGGCGATCAGCGCGGGTGAGAGTGGGATCGATGGTCGTGCCCACGCCTATGAGCCCCCCCGGCACGGCGAACTGCAGCTCGTTCTGCTCGGCGAAGAGCGAGATGATGCGCGAGAAGATGGGCGTGCAGCGGATGTTGCCGTCCGCGTCCTTGGCTACGATGCCCGGCCGCACCTCTATCTTCTGCCCCACGCGCAACACTCCCTGTGGTTCGGTTGACAGAGGAAAAGAAAGAATACGGGCAGAAGTGGGGTGGGGGATGACGGAGGGTGGGGGGGAGAGGGGAAAGTGGAGGAGAGATGGAGGGAATTGAGAGGTTGATAAGAGAGAGGTACAATGCCACAACACCTCGATCTTCTGCCCACTTTTAGCACGCCCTGTGGTTCGATCAGGGGTAAGATGGGAGAAGGGCAACGGGAAGATGGGGGGGGGTGGGGGTGGTGGGGGGGAAAGGAGGGATGGTTGCAAAAGGTGCTTAATGGAGCTGCAGGAAGTCAGCGTGAAGACAGGCATGGCAAGAACATGAGAGTGGGACTGGAAATGGAAGCAAGAGGATAAGAAGGGGGGGTGAGTGAGGGAAAAACAAATGGAGAGGGGAATGGGGAGGGGATGAGGAAAGAGGAGGATGAGGGAGGGAAGGAGGGAGGGAGGGAGGGAGGGAGGGAGGGAGGGAGGGAGGGAGGGAGGGAGGGAGGGAGGGAGGGAGGGAGGGAGGGAGGGAGGGAGGGAGGGAGGGAGGGAGGGAGGGAAGGAGGGAGGGAGGGAGGGAGGGAGGAAGGGAGGAAGGGAGGGAGGGAGGGAGGGAGGGAGGGAGGGAGGGAGGGAGGGAGGGAGGGAGGGAGGGAGGGAGGGAGGGAGGGAGGGAGGGAGGGAGGGAGGGAGGGAGGGAGGGAGGGAGGGAGGGAGGGAGGGAGGGAGGGAAGGAGGGAGGGAGGGAGGGAGGGGGCACGAAGGGGGAGACGGGAAGGGGGAGGGGAGTGGGAGGGGGAGGGGGAGGGGAGTGCCAAGCGGGAGGGAGCGACTCACATGCAGGATACTGCCGCCAGCAACGCCGCCCTTAATATCATCGACCTCAGCGCCGGGCTTGTTGACATCGAAGGAGCGGATGACAATCATGTTGGGCGGCGACACAAAGTCGCGATCAGGGATGGGGATGCGCTTGATGATCATCTCGCACACCACGTCCACGTTGTACTTGAGCTGCGCGCTGATGGGGATCACCGGCGCGCCATCCGCAATGGTGCCCTGCGGCGTAGTGCGGTGGAGTGAGGTGGAGTGTGGTGCGGCGTGGTGGAGTGCGGTGGGGTGCAGTGTGCGGGGATAGGGGCAGAGGGGATGGGAATGCGCTTGATTATCATCTCGCACACCACGTCCACGTTGTACTTGAGCTGCGCGCTGATGGGGATCACCGGCGCGCCGTCCGCAATGGTGCCCTGCGATGGAGTGCGGTGGAGTGTGGTACAGCGCAGTGGAGTGCGGTGGAGTGCGGTGTGCGGGGATAGGGGCAGAGGGGATGGGGATGCGCTTGATGATCATCTCGCACACCACGTCCACGTTGTACTTGAGCTGCGCGCTGATGGGGATCACCGGCGCGCCGTCCGCAATGGTGCCCTGCGATGGAGTGCGGTGGAGTGCGGTACAGTGTGGTACAGCGCGGTGGGTTGCGGTGGGATGCGGTGTGAGGGGATAGGGGCAGAGGGGATGGGGATGCGCTTGATGATCATCTCGCACACCACGTCCACGTTGTACTTGAGCTCCGCGCTGATGGGGATCACCGGCGCGCCGTCCGCGATGGTGCCCTGCGGTGGAGTGGGGTGGAGTGTGGTGCGGCGTGGTGGAGTGCGGTGGGTTGCGGTGGGAGGGGATGGGGGCAGAGGGGATGGGGATGCGCTTGATGATCATCTCGCACACCACGTCACGTTGTACTTGAGCTGCCCGCTCACCTGAATGAACTTTTAAATGACTTCCCAGAAACACCCTGACTTTCCCTTTTTCTCTCCCACCTGGATGAATTTTTGGATGGCGTCGTGCTGGTTGAGCGCGACGCTCTCCTGAATGAGGTCGATCTTGTTCTGCAGGATGATGATGTGCTTCAGCCGCATGATCTCCACCGCCGCCAGGTGCTCCGACGTCTGCGGCTGCGGGCAGCTCTCGTTGCCCGCGATCAGCAGCAGCGCGCCGTCCATGATCGCCGCGCCGTTCAGCATCGTCGCCATCAGAATGTCGTGGCCCTGCCGGAGCGGGTACCGGGAAGGAGCGGGGAAGCGGAGGGGGAAAGCGGAGAAGGGGGGGAGCAGAGAGGAGGGAGGTACGGGGAGGTCCCGGAAAGAGGGAGCAACGGGGAGGAGACGAGTCAGTTGAAATTACCATGTTTTGAGTCCGCCAATTATACGGGTTCGACGCGAGCACAAATGTGCGCGCGCGGAAGGATGTGCGACTGTATACCTTGAGATTGCTACAAGACGAAGCGAGACGGCTAGGACTGCCTAGTACTTGGGAGAATTGGCTAATACTGGCTAGGACTGGCTAAGACTGGCCACAAGTGGCGATCAGCAGCAGCAGTGCGTGGTTTGTAAGAGAGAAGTAAGGACGTCGATGGCATCGTGATCAGGCGAAAAGGCTAGGACTGGCCACTGTCAGCAGCAGCACAGCGAGCGCGCACCACACACATCTGCAACTACCTAAGCCTCACCGGGCAATCAACGAACGACACGTGGCGCATCAGCTTCATGCGGGCCTTTTCGAATCCCGGCACGTCGCAGAGCGGGCTGTCCTCCTTGCTGCTGCCGTACGCCCTGCACGCGCGGAAGAAACATAAAGAGATTAAAGACCAACCCACAGCTGCCGCGTCAAAACCCTAACCTGTAGCGCCAAGATCAGCCTCGCCCTCGACTCAGGCCAAACCTAGCCAGATTCCCCCCCACATCACTCCACCCGTCTACACCGACGTCCACCGCTCTCAACCCCGCAAAATCGTCCTCTAGCAGGAGGAAAGCGCGAGATGCTACGCACTTGTAGCACATGGGGCGAGGGCAGGCGTCGTCCTCGCATTTGTATATCTTGGCGTTGGCGTATCCCAGCTTGATCGTGATGTTGCGCTCCAACTCGTTCTTGAACCGCACCGTCTGCCGCACACGAACCCACGGGAAGGCGGATCGAATTGGGAAATTGGAGGGAGGGCGTTGTTTGCGGCGTCTCAAGAGACGGCAGATGAGATGAGGGAAGGGAAGGTAGGTGGTTGACAGAGGAACGAGCTGAGGAGAATGCAAGACGCGAGGGATTGCGCTTAAGATGAAGATCGGGAGGAGTAACGAATGGATGCTGTTTATTGCTGATTTAAGAAATTCCCCGAATTCAACCGAAAGCTGATTCGAGCCGTCTTACCTGGACGCCAGAAATCGCCTTGACGACAGTCGATTTGCCGTGAGCGACATGGCCGATTGTACCTGCGGATCGCACCCGAGAAATCGGCATGGGACGACGATGGGTGAAGAGATGATGGAGCAGCAACATTTGCGGGAAGAAAATGATGGAAGGGAAAAAACAATAAGAGAAAGGTCAACGAAAAGGTCAACAATATTAATCCTCAGACTGTGTGAACCAACTGCGATCTGGACGCACCGATGTTGATGGTGGCTTGTCGACTGATGACTTCAGGAGACAGCGGATTGAGCTTCGTCACATCCAGCGTCTTGAGATCCTGCTCCATTAAACCCTTGCGCGCCATGGTGTTCGCTCGCTTGTCCACCCGCCAAACTTATAAATTCAAAATCCGCGAAATATACTAATCTCAGCGTCGCGAGAGGCTCCAAAAGACCGCTAGTTTGAAGGTGCTGATCAGCAGAAAAGGTGAAAGAAACCATGGTGATTACACGCAAGGATCCATGGCGGATGACTGTGAGAGATGAAAGCAGCACAAGTGGGCTGGGGTGGGGGGAGACGCTGGAGAGAAGGTGAGCAGCAAAAGAGATTCTCGAGAAAGCGGAAACAGAACTTCAATCAGGATGCCTTGGGTTTGTCGCATGGCGACACTCAAACGAGTACGTATAACCTGGAAAGTGAGAACAATCCATATACAGTACATGGCTAGTCCTTATGAGCTGGTACGAATCGCCAGGCATTGTCACCTACCAAATTGTCTTCAATCAATTAATAACACCAACAAACCTATTCCCGTGATTTTCGGGTTATTCTAGCACAGCACATGCACATATATTCTGTGAAATCAAGATTTTCCACCCGTGGCCTCCATTTTTATGAGTGAGCTGGCTCAGTGAAATGTGAGATACGGTATGCCCCCTCTGCCTGTGGGACTGCAGGTGGGTGTGAGTGACAAAGGCCACCGCCAGCACGCCCATCGCCAGTGCAGCTGCACTTGTTTCTGTTTCTTGTACCTCTGGTACTGGTTCATTCTATAGAGATGTTTTCTGGTTCAAATGCTAAAAATTGAACGCATCAGCAAGCAAGGAAACGAAACTTTGGGCCAGAAGCAGAGATGCGGTTGGATGGATATTGTTCGCTCACAGACCATGGTACGTGAAAGGGGAATGGCTGATGCAGCCAGCTACACTTTAGTTGTTGATCCGCTAGTGGGAGCACCTGAACAGCTGGATCTAGGATTGAACAAAAAACTCCTTGCATAATAAAAAAAAGCTGTACATAGAGGATAAGAACTACTAGTAACTAAGTGCACACAGATCAACTCATGGTTTATGTACAGCTGCACACAGCACAAAGACGAAGGATGTGGTAACATCCTGGAAACTGCTGAACTTGATGAGTGTACAGTGGGGGGGCTGGCTTGCTGGGTTTCGGCTTCCAAACCAAACCAAACGCAAACAGAAACGCAAACGCGTGGAGAGCGCTGAAGGTAACTGGGGAGCACTGGGGAGCACTGAAGAGCGCTGAAGAGCCCTGAAGAGCGCTGAAGAGCACTGGAGGCACTAAGGGTGTCTGGGTCTGCTGTAGCGGGTACGAGTGTGCTGCGGCCATTCTCTCTCCTGGAGCAATTTCGATGGGAGCAGTCGACGGAACAGCCAGAGTGTATACGGGCCACGCCAGGACCAGAGAGACGTTGAAGAGAGTATGATCAACCGCTACTGGTCCGTGGCGTGCTGTGGTATGGGTATGGTGTATGGTGTAGCATGGCGATCCCGTGCAGAGATGGCATGTCATGGGGAGGTGGATCGCATGGCACGCTCTGCAGGGGTTGCATGCCATGGTATGGCAAATCCGATCTGGACAATCCGATCTAGAAGTTCGTCTGCAGATCTGACGGTGGACGGCACTGAATAAAAATGGCCGGAGCTGGGAAGCTGGGTTAGAAATTAACGCGAGGGAGCTGCGACGGCAGTGGTAGCAGGGGAGTTAGCGAGGTCAGTAAGAACACCTGCTGCAGCAGCCATGGCGACAGCAGATGCTTCGGAGACAGCAGGCAGAGCAACGCGTTTCGCGAGCGACGCGTTGCCTGCAGTATGGCCGCGCAGTTGCGAAGCTGGCGACGTCAGTGCGAAAGCACGGACCAGGTCCTGAAAGGAAGAAGGAAAGGAAGAAGGATCGCACAGGAAAGGTTGGGACGTGAGACAACAGGTCACAACGAAAAACCCTCCAACAACCCCTTCAATAACAGCTCGTTTTCATGCCATCAGCCACTGTGAAGTCCTTACCTGCTTCCTTGTAGACTTGACTCCGCGAACAGCCACGTCAGCGGCAGCAGCTATTACACTGGGAGGGACCTTCATCCGCCCGAAAACTGTAGTCCTCAGCTGAAGCACGAAGGCTGCGAGGTAGCGAGCGTGAGACGACGAGTTGCCGTCGCGGAACAACGACGACCTGCACAAACGAACCATCAACGTCAGAAAAACTGCACGTTTCGAACCCTCGTGCCACCAACCGAAATTTCAGTCCAAAACCAACCTTCCAACCACTATTAACCCCTCGATAGGCTAAAATCAGGAACATTGGTTCACTGCTAATCTGTAAGTTCCCAAAGCCAGCTGGTACTCACCATAAGCTGCGTAAGAGCCCAGCAGCGGCTTCCATGTCTCCGGACGCCGGGAGATGCAGGGACGGGAAGAGGCGAGACACCCAGTCGAGCTGTCGCTCCAGCATGCAGCCCTTGACCGCCGATAAACCCTCTAGACATGCCAATGTCTGGCAGAAGGCGTCCGTGCTGCATGGTGGCACGACGGGAATAAGCAAATAAGCACAACAAATCTTCGTTTAGATACGAGTTCTGAGACTGGCTGGAACACAGACGCGGCGTCGAATGAGGCTCAACGGAAACGCGAGCGGCAGTGAGTGGCATCGAGTGTGGCTCGTGACGAACCTCAAGGAATTGGTGGATGTGCGCGCGGCCCTGGCTTTGTGAGCGACGAAGAGGCATGTCAGTGCGAGCACGTGACGCTGCACCGTGTCGCGGTGGCAGCACGCTCCGCCGAGCCGGCATCGTAATTGACACGCGTCGTGGAGCATCACGGCAGTCAGCAAGTCCGACGGTCCGAACCCAAGCGTCACAGCCGCCTGAAAGACACACGTACCACATCAGCACGAAATTTTGGGTCAATATCACAACAACCGATGTTGACTCTCGGCGAAAATCACAAATTTAAACATGTGATATGCCAGGAAGAAGCTCACCTGTGAGAACATGGGAAGCAGCTGCGACCGTTTGTGTCCGGAGCAACCCGCACTGACTTCTCCCGACTCCACCGCAGGAGCCGGTCCATCCGCTGAACCCGTCGACACCTTGACTGAAACTCTCGCACGTTTATTTACACCCGCTTCAACTCGTTCCCAGCTTCCGTGAAACTCGTCAGGCACGGGAGGTCCTACTGGAAGAGGCGTGGCTGAGGAAGGGTCTGCTGAGATTGACTCATCCCAGCTATCACCTGAACCCTCTTCCGTTTCCGCGAAACGGGACCCGTCCAGCCGGGAGCTGGCCGCGTGCCTCGTCCTACTTCCCGTAACGTAGAGCTCCTGAAGCCTGCGCTTACGCGCGGCTTTGGCACGCTCGATGATATCGACTGGGTTTAGTGTGCAGGTCGCCATGGAACCCGACGGCGTCGAAGAGAAACCTAAAACTCACTACGTTGCGAAGACAAACGCCAAGGAACTGAAGCTGACCAGAGGGTTGAAGAGAGGTTCTCGGAACTAGATGAAGACTCGGAAATGCAATCGAAAATTTGAAGGTGTGAATGAGATTGAGATTAGGTACTACAACTTACTAACTAGGCCAGAGCGAGACTTTTCATCTCCTCGTCTTCTGTTCCGTCCTTCCTCCGAGCAGTTAGCACAACACCGCTACTGCTCACTCTGCTTCAACCCGTCTGCCTGCGTCAACTGTCTCGTTCCCCCGTTTCCCGCTCTGGTCGTGTCAACCATACCAAGTCCATGCCAGCGTGGCAGGCATCCCCCAGGCGGAACCAACCGAGATTCCTTTTTCTTGGAGGTTGACGGCGCCCAGCCCACGCGCCCGCCTCGCCAACCCTCGATTCCTTCTTCATGCCTGTCAGGCATTCGGCAATCGATTCCTGGTTACCAGGAACCCGTTGGGTCTGGGGTTGGGTCTAGAAAATTGGGCAGATACGATGACGCCAGCGCGACTCGGCCAGTTGCGGTGTTCCTTTCCGTCCCCCTGAGAGGAGAATGTCACCCGTTGTTTAACAGCCAATCGCGAAGGATTCTGCTGCCACGTCCGCGAAACTGGAATATGGGGGAATTCTCTGGTACCCGTCGATTCGATGCGGCGGTTTTGGATGTCTGGCATCGATGTGTTCTGAGCTGGTTTGCTTTCGTGGAGCTTGAAATTTCTAAAATCCTATGGTCAAGGGAGAAGATGTTGGGAGAGATTACGATGGCGCGCAATACCTCATCCACACCCAAAGTTCGAGGGGGCGAGGCGCAGGTATTTGGTATAAATGATCGGGGTGATCCGGATATTCTACCTTTCCCAACAAAAGAATACTGAACAGAATCTGTAACATGCTCAGAAAATCGATGGGGTTCGTCCACGTGGACGCTTATCCGATGTGGAGGTGTCGTTGATGCTCTAGAAACGTTTTTTTGCCCACCCTAAACCCTCAAAGTCCGCTCCAGCTCTTTCTGCTGCCTCCGTCCGTCCGCTTTCGAACAAGCCACACCACTCGAGGTTTTTCGACGGCAGTGAGTATTTTCGTTGTGGATTGTGTGTGTCGTTTCCGGCAGGGATTTATGGCTCATTGGCTCGAAATTTGAATTTGATGCACCAATCGGAGAAACGGAGGAGTCCTTCTGAGTTCCGATTGGCCATTCCAGCTGCATGCCGCCGGTCACGTGAACCGCGTCGTACACGGCAAGAATCGTGGTCAGCAGTCACGCCGCAAACGTGGAACTTTTCGATGCTTACGTCATAATCTGCTGGTCCCTCGCCTTCAATCTGGTTAGGTGCACTCCAGCCAATCCACTACAGTGTGGAGTGAGGTGATGACTCTTGTCGCCTTGTGTGGATAGCCAGCTCGCATCGCATCGCACATTTCGGTTGCCATAGTTCTAGGCATGAACATCCACCAATCAACGCTATTTCCTGAATGCGGCTTGTCAGGCACCTTTTGTGGTGGGAAATAAACACGATAAGGTTACTCAAGTGGCAAGCAAAACAGCCAGGACCAGTCAGTGTGTGCACCCTGGAGGCTGGAACCACCAGAAGCCTCCACAGCATCTCACACCAGCCTGGGAATGCCACAAAAAGATGCTTCAGGTTCATTTGGATGATCGATAGCACACATTTCGTAAAAAAAGTGGAGTTGAAACCCTACATGCATGTGAGGACAATATGTAACATACATGCAAATATTATGTATTTGGGGATAAGGGTCATTACAAGCGCATGAGTGCATGCGACGTACCGGTATGCGGGGTACTCCTTCAGTCGCCAACATGAGTAATGTTTCATAAATCCCTTTCTCCCTGCTGGTCTCGACTTAGTAACGGAAATCCATTCGACGAACTTGATTGTACTGTGACAATGTCGTCACATTGATCGTCGAGAAAGCGCACATCTCCGTCACATTCCTTGTCGAGTGCTCCATTCATAGCAATGTCGTACCAATTACGGGATGCGAGTACACTCTTAAATTCAGTAAGATTCTCTCAACATCTGCATTTTGCTCACACAACAAACATAGAGAAGTCAACATTGTTCAAATATAATTCCAGTACACGGTAATTGAACTTCGTATCAAAATAGGAGGTTAGGGAGCACGGCACGAGTAGGAAGGCCAAAAGAGGAGTTGTGATTAGGCAAGAGTCGATAAATACAAGACAAGGGTGGGCACAAATGTGCACCACCAACAGGAATGTAACACGAACTATTCTAGCTAGCCTACAGGCAGTTACAACAAAATATAATATACGGTAGTATATATTTCTTACACACCCCCTAACTGTCTGCCAGACATAGCTAGTGAAGGCTGGAAGTGCAAAAGCCGACACATTGGCTGACACATTGCTGCTCTGCCGCTGCATGCTGAAGGCAAGCACTTCCAGATGCCTAGCTGGTTGGCTAGAAAGAGAGAGGAGAGAGGAGGAGGAACGCGCCTGGAAGGTGAGAAGAGAGAGGAGGAGGAAGGCGGCTGAAAGGGAAAATGGATAGAGCCTGATCGCATGTTTGCTCTTTGAAATGTGTTACAATCCCAAGTGGGACTTAGCGAAGGATCGCTCAGGGTTGATCGCAGAGTAGTGTTGCAGCGGAAGTTTGAATCTCAGGTCAGAGTGAATGTAAATGACTGAGTTGATAAAGACATGCATACATCGGTTTTATATAAGAATACAGGGGAATACGAAAAGACCTAGACTAGCCATGTACTCTAAGGGGTACATTCCCTTATTGCAGCGAAATTCAAACCGTGCGGCGCGGGAACCCGTTTCAAACCTGTTCCCGCTCTTTTCACTTCAAATGTTTCTGCCTGCATCGGTCTTGATCAGACGGTTGCTGCGTCGCTTCGACTCTTCTGACTCCTCGACTTCGTACTCGGTAGAGTCGGCTCCTGCAGCATACAGGAATGCCTACTCATGTAATTTCATATCGTAACACTCCCCTTCATTCCTGGGCACAGGAGGAGCTGACTCGCTTGACTACTCCGGTGAGGTCAGAGCAGTGTTTGTACTGCTGACGTGGCAGGCGCTTGGTGAGGAAGTCTGCTGCCATCTCAGTAGTCGGGCAGTAGGCGAGGTCAACTTTTCCTTGGTCAATTTCGTCCTTGACGAAAAATTACCGAAGTGCGATGTGCTTCGTGCGGTTCACGAAACCTGGCTTGTTCGCGATCCTGATGGCGCTCTGGTTGTCGCAGTGAAGGCGAAAGGTAGGCGAGGTTGGGATTTTCGCCTGTAGCAGCTCCTGCAGGTACAGGCCTTCACGAACTACTGCTGTCGCGGCGATGTATTCTGCTTCAGCCGATGACAGGGCAACTAGCTCCTACTTCTGCGAGTTCCAGGAGATTGGCCTAGTTGGTTCCAAGCGAAAAACGAAGCCGGTTCGGGACCGTCGATTTGCAGGGTCAGCTGCATGAACTGCGTCCACGTAGCCGTTGAGGTTGAAGGAGGTCGTCGTCAGCGTGGAGCAGGAGAGCCCAACGTCAGGTGTAGAGATGAAGTACTGCAGGGCGCGCTCCAGGTCCAGCTGGTTCTCAGCTACTGGCTTGCGGGAATACTGCGCCAGTTGACTGGCGATGTACAAAAGGTCGGGTCGGCAGGTGACAGAGGCGAATAGCAGACACCCCAACTTCTGCTGGTACATTTGGAGCCCTACGGGTGACAGAGGTTTGTTGTCCGGTTTGTAGTTGGCGCTGGGGTTGCGGTAGGGAGTTGAGAGTGGTGCAGGTGAGATGTTGAAGCGTTCCCCCAGCTGCTCTGTGTACTTGGAGGCTGACAGGTGAATTGCTTCTGGCGCGTAGGTGATGTTCAGCCCCAAAAACTGCTTCACGTTGTGGTTGATGGTGATGTCAACGCGCTGCGACAGGTTCTCCTCAAACTGGTTAAGGAGTTTGTTGCAGGTTCCCGTGCACAGCAGGTCGTCGACGTAAACTGTCAGGAGAATGTAGTCGCCGCTAAAGTGAAGGCGATACATTCCCGGGTCGTGCGGCAGCTGCCTGAAACCGATCTCGAGGAGAATTTTGTGCAGATGCTGCTGCCAGAGACGAGGCGCCTGTTTGATTCCGTAGAGGGACTTCTTCAGCTGACAGACCCTAGGATCCCCTTCTCCGTAGGTGTGAGGCTGCTCCACGAAGATGGTAGCGTCCACCAACGCGTATAAGAACGCGTTCTTCACGTCGATCTGTCGCAGTGGCAGGTGCTTAGCGGCGGCAATGGCGAGTAGAATCCTGACGAAGGTGTGACGACTGACGGGAGCGAAGGTCTGGTCGAAGTTGATGCCGTGACGCTGATCGTACCCACGTACGACCCAGCGCGCTTTGAAACGTTCGATGGTACCGTCAGCGTTGGTCTTCAAGCGAAAAACCCACTTTCCGCTTAGTACCCTCCTCCCC